CTTCCTCATGTGACCAAACGTCATGCATAACCTGAACTTCATCTTATACTTCCTCATGTGACCAAACGTCATGCATAACCTGAACTTCATCTTATACTTAACCTCATGTGACCAAACGTCATGCAAAACCAGAACTTCATCTTATACTTCCTCATGTGACCAAACGTCATGCATAACCTGAACTTCATCTTATACTTCCTCATGTGACCAAACGTCATGCAAAACCAGAACTTCATCTTATACTTCCTCATGTGACCAAACGTCATGCAAAACCAGAACTTCATCTTATACTTCCTCATGTGACCAAACGTCATGCAAAACCAGAACTTCATCTTATACTTCCTCATGTGACCAAACGTCATGCAAAACCAGAACTTCATCTTATACTTCCTCATGTGACCAAACGTCATGCAAAACCAGAACTTCATCTTATACTTCCTCATGTGACCAAACGCCATGCATAACCTGAACTTCATCTTATACTTCCTCATGTGACCAAACGTCATGCAAAACCAGAACTTCATCTTATACTTCCTCATGTGACCAAATGTCATGCAAAACCAGAACTTCATCTTATACTTCCTCATGTGACCAAACGCCATGCATAACCTGAACTTCATCCAATACTTCCTCATTGATATGGATGCAGCACAAACAGAGGATTTGAAGTGCTTCCAATAAACAGCCCTTAGACATTACAGTCCATATACTGATATAGGCATTCTGAAACCATTCATTTCCACATACAGTCACCCTCATATAAACTAAGGAGAGAAACATAGACAGTTGTTAGACAATAGTTAGACTTTGTTTGTTATGGATTTTTAATTGAAAATAGAAACCAATTGTCAAAATATTTTTGGATTGAAAAAGCATGATTGATTTCTTAATTTTATTCTATGGTGATGAAAGGTAAGATTCTTAAAGCTGACACTATCAGCTCCCAACGGTTTATTGGAACCATACAGTGCGTATCAAAAACGCAACAGATTGTTATCTTAGAAAAGCACAAAACCAGTGATAACAGCATTGATTTCATTCAATACACCATAAAGCCATGTGTGTCCTCTTTACAATGATATATCATTCATTGATATTTGGTCATGGTTTGGCGAGTAATCATTCCATTTGCAAAGTGGGCAAAAATTAGCTTCGGGCCAAGTTATAAACATTGCAAAAGTCAGTGTACGGAGCCCGATGCAATATTGGACATAAACATAAAACCTATGCTGACTGCATCCTTTTAATTCAATGTACCAAAAAGCCAAATTACTCCTCTTTGCAATGGAATATCATTCATTCACAGGGAGTCATCTCTGGCCGAATAATCATTAATTTTGCAGAGTGGGGCAAAATTCAGCTCGGACCCAAGTTTAAAACATTGCAAAAGTCAGTACAAGGGACATAGGGCCTATTGGAAGAAGGTGTGACATGTATGACAGAGACAGTAAAGTGTTCATACTCATACTCTTGCAAGAATACATGCCACCACTTCCTTGCACATAAAGATGCGCTCATCTGTCCACCTCATGCATGGTTCAGCCCTGAATCATGTGTGGGTTAAAGTAAAGAAAAGCAGTCCATGGGCAAATCTTTCTCGAGGTTTTGCAATATCTAGTGGAGGAATTGTAACCACAGATGCTCCTGAGATAGCTCCAAAAGAAAAGGTCACAACAATTCAAGTCAGGGGAACTTCCATTGGCACTTAGCCCTTGCACTGATTTTTTCAATATCTAAAACTTGGCGCAGAGCCGATTTTGACTCACTGTGCAAATGGAAGGATTTCTCACCCAACCATTACCACATGTGAATGAATGACATATCATTGCAAAGAGGAGAGACATGGCTTTATGGTACATTAAATGAAATTGATGTAGTCATCACTAGTTTTGTGATTTTACGAGATAACTACTTGTTGCGTTTTTTGGATACGCCCTGTAGTCCAGAAAGCCTAATTTAAAAATCACTTAGCAGGCTATATTTTGCACAAGTAGTCAAGGTTAGTTGAGAAATATACCTGTGTAAATGACGGTATTTAACACCCTTGTAGATCAGTGCTACACCAGTTCCCCAGGTTCCATTCCCGGTTCAGGTAGGTCTAATTGGCATGTTGCGTTAAGAACTAATGCAACGTTAAATTAACACCACTTCAGGTTCTATTATAATCGTTCCAATGGTGATCAAAATACAGTTTGTGAGACTTACAATGATTTCAGAGGGATTTTGAAATACTTTTAAGTAATTCTAAAAAGTATTCATTTATACATACATGTCATGCAGTAAATGTAAATATTTGACACCGAATACTGACCAGTTCGAAAGTCAAGGTTCAACAATCGGCGGTATACCGAACAATGTGTTCTGTCAAGGACAATCGTAAAATTCTCTTTGATATATTACAACGACGTTTTATCATATCATATGATTAGAGCAGAGTAAGACTTTTCGAACAAACTATTTATGAGGACAAATAACTACGATGAAATTTGATGATATCTTGTCGAAAATCGGAGGATTTGGGACGTTCCAGAAACTTCTTATAATGGCCTTCATCATTTACTACCCGGGAAACAGCTGGACGCTGGTGAGCGTAAATTTGGTTGCTGGTGACATGGATCATTGGTGTAAATTGGACGTGAATGGTGTGAATAAAAGCCATGTCAAGGAGTTGATCATTCCCAAAACGATTGATGCATTTCAAAAGAAAACCTATAGTAAATGTGAAATGTATGATATTAACACGACAGAATTGAATGCGCCAAAGGGTGGTTTATATTATTGTATAATTAAACCAACGTCATTAGTATACTTATAATCATAATATATTTGCCTTACAGTTGTATGAGTACAAGTTACACCACATCGTATAATAAATTCACTTTAACTTGTATTTTAAACTTATTTAAACTCATTATAGCTGGTAATATAATTGCAGGGGGCCGCTGTCTTCTGTGTTTGACGTCGCAAACGACAGCGATTTGGCCGATGCGCTTTCGATAGCCTGTCTCCCCACATAGGAGCAGCCGCTCTATTTGTCGCGTCAATATTGAAATGACGCGATCGCGCTAAAAAATAAAGAATACTGTACACTAAAATACTTGCTACTTGATCAATACTGAACCAAATTCTATGATTTTTGAACGAGCATGTTCCTGATTATATATTCTTTCAGACCGTATACAAAATAGGAATGTTCTCTGTTTATTCTCTCTCGTAGCATTGTGTAGACATGGACTGTCCACCTTTCTGACGTGATCATTTACGATGAGAGTCTTCACTTCACACGACTGTATTTCTATTAATACTGGATATTTTATTAATATTTTTGTTAATTATTACTTTCCATATATATGGGTAACCAATTATCGAAAAATAAAATTTCAAATCAAAGTATATTTCTTCATCAAGGCGTTTAAAGTGTATTTACTACAAAATATTTTTCGTTTTCACGTTACATTTTCCCGGGAATTTGGGCTATTTTTAAGATTGTTTCTGTATTGTTTGAAAATAAGATAGTTAACATTTTGTAAGGCATAATAATATGCACATAATGTAATAAAAGTACTAAAGATAACATACATATCTTCTTTCTTTTATTTGATGGTAAATATGTTCCCGGGAACGATATACACGTTCATGTAAAATAGTTTCGTTCATCGCACATCCTCTGCTTCACTCATACATACAACAAGTACGTGTGCATTTCAGTGGTGAGTATAAATTCTTTTTTATTACACACCATGAACATAGCCGTTTAATTAAAAACTATGACAATATGCATAACATATTTATGTTTTGATTTCATTAGTTATTCATTTAAGTCTATGTCAAATACATTCATCATTTGATGTTTTAATTTGCAAATTTTGAAATCCGAAAATTTGCCGCGAAAATCCATTTAGGGCCTATATTGCACTACATTTATTTCGATGATACAAAAACACTGCAACTGTCTTTCTATCATACTCATATGTTTATTTTAGTATATAGAGCCTATCTACATATCTAGACTTAGAAACATTTGTCAACGACGCTATTCGTTGCTATGAACAGGGGGGCTATCGGGCAAGTTCAACTGAGTGCATTCTAAGAAATTGGGATTGCAGGAGTGACATCTATAAATCGATAGAGTAAAATTTTTATATAGCCTAGTTGTAGTCATACTTGTCTCAATGACACATTGCCAGTTTGTTGCATTGCATGTCAGCTTTATTGAACATTCCCTTGCTTATATATTTTGCATGTATGTTTCAGTCTTTGTACTAGGCTCAATTAAATACTAGGCTAATGTACAATAGTTTGCATGTACATATATGTCTTCTCCAGCAGCCCAACCCATGGTACTTAATATTTAAATGTGTTCAATATTTCTCTACATATAATATCACCCTAGGGTCCATTAAATAGGACCTACTTATGCATGTAAATATACAGTCAAAGACATAGCCGAAATCAACATAAATGATAGGCCTATTATTTATCTTTTCAGAATCATCACCACCCTCTCTGCCTACTCTATCTTCATCTGCTTTGTCACTCACCCGGTGTCACTCTCACAAGCCTACACTTTCACTTTCACTCATTGAGGTAAATATATAAACAAGATAGGTGATTATAAACAATGTTTGTACATGACATATTATTTTGAGTTTATTAACAATAACAGACATAAATTGATATTATTTTATCTTTTCAGAATCATCACCACCCTCTCTGTCTACTCTATCTTCATCTGCTTTGTCACTCACCCAGTGTCACTCTCACAAGCCTACACTTTCACTTTCACTCATTGAGGTAAATATATAAACAAGATAGGTGATTATAAACAATGTTTGTACATGACATATTATTTTGAGTTTATTAACAATAACAGGCATAAATTGATATTATTTTATCTTTTCAGAATCATCACCACCCTCTCTGTCTACTCTATCTTCATCTGCTTTGTCACTCACCCAGTGTCACTCTCACAAGCCTACACTTTCACTTTCACTCATTGAGGTAAATATATAAACAAGATAGGTGATTATAAACAATGTTTGTACATGCAACATATTAGATTATATGTTTATTTTTTACAATATTATTAGATATTACACTGTGTTGATTTTATAAATAAAAGGCATAAAGTGGTATTATTATTTTATATTTTCAGAACACTCTCTTGCTCTATCTCTATCACTACAGCACTAGGCTTCAGTTCTCATCACTTCTCATTTCTTTCAAGGTAAATATAGAACAAGCTATGGCTTATCATAAACCAACATTTATATCTCTGACTTTGCTCATTTATTTTGCAATATTAGATCTCATGTGTTTAGTTCCCATACCACCCATATTGTTCTGGCACTTATTCTGTGCAGTCTTCGGATTCTTCCTCACAAATCCCTCCAATAGCAAACCAAAAGGTCAAAGTAAACTGCCTGAACCGATATTACCATTTTGGGCTTTTTTTAAATTCAGAACTAATAAACACCACTCCAGATCAGTTAGGCCTATTCCATTGAGAAAATGCATTGTGCGTATGAACCTTAACAGAATCATGAGACTAAACCAGTGGAAATCAAAGATCAAAATTCCTCCCAAACAAGACAAGTCTGATTCAATTACCTGCGATAGTAAACCACGGGTAGGCCTTTTGTTTACATTAGTAAAGCACACCAAACTATGGATTCTGCGCCTAATCGATACATTCAGAGAAATTATTTGTTCTCCTAGTGCAGTATTCTATCTTGCCCTTGATGTTTTGATACTAGGACTTCGCCAATACATCAACAGAGACATTGATGACACCAAAGAATTACTGAAATACAAATGCTCCTCTTTTGAACACTTTCTCTCGACCATCCTTATCTGGATACTATTTGTCACTGAGTATTTTGGAATGCCACGAGAACTACAAGTCATAACAATTTTGATTTTGTTCTGTGTAATTCTGTACAGGGCAGTTCTCCAAACGTTTCACACAGAAATGATGTGTTTGTTCTTCACAATTGCATTAAACTGGGTCTGTCAAAATGAATCATATGATACAATGTCACTCTTTTTTGACACAATACTCATAGTATTTATCAGTATTAACACCTTCTACACCCAGAGAAAGAAAATATGCCTGTTCTGTAAAAAGTCACCAGGGGCAACATTTGAAAATAAAACATCAACTTGTTCCACCATCAACTACGACAAGAATGTTGAAGCTTTTGTTAGAAAGCATAGTCAGTCAGTGTTAGATGACAATCTCGTTGAATCTGATCAGGATAGTATTGACATCAACCAGACAATAAACAGAAACATAACAAATACAGGGGGAAGTCGATGCTGCATTTTGCACTGTACTAATGAAGGTAGTCGCACATTGAAAACGCTGAATGGCTTGTATGAAATTGATATTGACCAAAACTTCACAACTGATGATGCTGGTAATTTAAAAATCTGTAATGCTCATTATAGTCGTCAACCACACAAGCAATCTAAGCGATTTAGGCATACAAAACAAGCCTGTAGTAGACAATTTACCAAAAGTCAATGTTTGCATTGCAATGAAACATACACCTTAACATCGAGTGCATGTCATAGCCATGTATTAAACATTTCTGGAAAAACGATTTCATGCCCTTGTACATATAGTATTATTATAATAGGATTTATTAGTACTGATGCCCTTTTAGGGCCAAACGTACATCCAATATACAATTTTCAATAACAGTAAATATAGGCAATAAAGTAAAGAAAATAGGATTACATTCTTCAAATGACATATAAAATGTTACTTTGATATAAGAATCCTGTCTCTACCCATCATTAGATACTTTATCATGTCAGCAGATTCTTTTAATATGATCCCCTCACTCGTCAATAGAAAAATTGTCTTTTGGTGGTCATTCATGTTTTTAAAATTACGACACAGGTTTTCAAGTTTTTCAATATGGGATTTTCTGATAAACTCCAATTTTTTACATTTGAATAAAAAGTGTGTTTCATCTTCTATAACCGAGTCCTTGCATATTTTACAAAATCGACTATTAAGATCAGTAATTGGTTTTGTATATCGGCCTCTCTCTATCTCTAGATTGTGGGCGCTTATACGTAATCTAGTTAAATGTTTAGCATTTGAAAGTGTCGTTTCTGAAAGGTAGTGTTCAAATCCAAAGTGCGATTTTAGTTGTTTAAATAATCTAAGTTTCCCCCCATTCCCACTTATCAGATTCTTCCAATATACTTGATATCTCTCTATTAGTTTCTTTTTGACTTTAATAGCAAGCCTATTTGTGCTCATCTCTATGTTTACCCTATCTTCAAGATTCAATTCATCAGACATTTTTATTTTAATATGGCACAGTATATTTTTGAGTTGTTTGTGCCATGTAAATGTGTTATTTGTTAAATCAAATGTTTTACTCATAATTAATGAATCGTTTAGTAGACTCCCATTTGAACTCAACTCTAAATGACCGAGGTATTTGATTTGTCTTTTTATAATATCAACTACTAAAGGTATTCTTCCCAATTCTCCTCTTACTGCCATGTTTGTGGCTTTTCTATGGACCCCGAGAACATATTTTTGGAACCGAATATGATTGTTTTCAATTAAAGCACTTTCGTATTTCTGTTCAATATCTCGATTAGTTTGGCAGTCACGCTTGGTATATAAATCATTACACCATATTTCCGAACCGTATAAAGCGACGGGTTTGATAAGTTGATCATACAATTTCATTTTCAGTGAAGACTTCATCTCTGTGCCGCTTGTCAATTGATAAAGTTTAAACATGGCTTTATTTGCTTTTTCTTTTATGTTTTGTTGGGCCGGTTTAAAAGATCCCGAAGCACTTAAGACAATTCCCAAATATGTATACCTTTGAACATTTTGTATATTCTTACCATTTATTTGAAATCGTTCTTGACAAACTTTGCCACATTTCCAGAATTTCATAATTTTTGTTTTGTCAATGTTAATTTCAAGTTTCCAGTCATCACAGAAGGATTCAAGAGTGTTCAGTTTTAGCTGCATTCCTTTTTTACTAGTATCAAATATGACTAGATCGTCTGCAAATAGCAAACTGCTAACATGTTGAGTTTCAAGGAACGGAGATTTCCCAACATTATCAAACTTTTTTATAATATCATTTATATATATGTTAAATAATAATGGACTGAGCGAGTCTCCTTGTTTTACACCCCTATCACATGAAAACGATTCCGTATAAGTTGAATGATTAAGTTTTACACACGCCGTGGCATTTTCATACATGGTTTTAATGATTTTGTAGAAGTGCCCTTTAATTCCTGACTTTTGTAACTTATACATAAGGCCTGTGTGCCATATCGAATCAAATGCCTTCTTTAGGTCCACAAAGCAGGCATAAAAATTACTTTTATTTTGATGAACATGTTTGTCAATAAGAGACCGAATTATAAATATATGGTCGGTCGTTCTTGCTTTCTTCATAAAACCTGCCTGGTTTTGTGAAATAATATTATTTGATTTGACAAAAGCATAAAGGCGATTATATAGCACATTGGAGAAGATTTTCGATAAGCATTCCGAAATAAATATGCCACGATAGTTACCTGGTATTCGAGGGTCATTTTTCTTGTAAATTGGTACATTGATCCAAATACAACTGGCAAAACTGAATCTTCATCAAGTCTTGAAATTGCAGGTTATGCCTGTTCAAAGTGCGAGTCCTACTTTCTTGAGCTCATCAAAACCTCTAACAAATTAGACTCATTAATTGATGATCTGTCCGTGCCATTGAAAGAACAATGTTCAATATCCAAGATGTCACATTCAAGTGGAGCTGAGATAAATGATATGCCTTCTCCAGAAAAGGCGCAGCAGACCTCATTTGAACAGCAATCAGTTGATAAACCGTTGTTTGTTACACAATCAAATGACCCTAACTCCACCTCCTATCAATCTAAATCAGAGACAGGTATCTGTGAGAAGTTGCTTAGTCTGCGGATTGAATCAGCCACATCAAGTTTACGCAAAGATTATGTATTAACGGAGCTGTCGGGCATTTTCTAATGAGTAAGACCTCCGCAAGTTGCAAGTGGGGAGACAGGCTATCGAAACGGTTCTGAAAAGTCGACGGGGCCTGTATAATTGACACAGACTGAGCATGCACTCAAACAAGTGATGATTTACGACATTATGTCGTAAACTAAAGAAATGAGACAATGTCGTAATTATGACTATGGTCTGGACGAATATATGTTAACAAAAAATTGGACAAGAGTACCCTGTAAATATGGTTGGAATTTTGATCAGACTGAGTTCTATTCAACCATTGTAAGTCGTTACACTTTGGTATGCGATCGAGCATGGCTACAGGCAGTACCGACAACCTTCCTTGTCCTAGGCACATTTTTTGGCTCTATTCTCTCAGGATACATGTCAGACAGATGGGGTAGAAAATGGACTTTGATAATCTTAATAATAAGTCAAATGGTGTGCAACATCGCTGAAGCATTTTCACCATATTTCTGGTTATTTGTAGGAATTCGTTTCTTATTAGGAATTTTTAATATGGGAACATTTTCAGTCTTTTCTGTTCTCTTGATAGAAAGCATGCCTCCAGTCCGCAGGAATCACTGTACATATTACGTTACGCTTGGGCGCATCCTTGAATTCATTCTCCCTGTAATCGCATACTTTGTTCGAAGCCATACACACTTACTATTGGTAGGGGTGGGTGTCGCAATTCCTGGACTTGTTTGTGCCATATTGTTGCCCGAAAGTCCAAGATGGCTACTCTCACGCAAACGCTACAAGGAGTACGAAAAAGTGGTGCACAAGATCGCTAGGATTAATAATGCTGCTATTCCTGATGAAATCCTTAGGAGTGAGAGACAAATAGAAGACAGTGATAATAAGGCAATGGGTACAGCGTCTTTCCTGGACTTAAGGATGCAGTACCGGGTCGGTTTTCACGTCTGTTTGCGCAGGTTTGACTTCCGGTTTGAGAAAGCTAGCTCCCAAGAACCTCATTTTCGCATTTAGTCTTATTCAAAAATTATAGTTTATTTCGATAATGGTGTTTCCAGAAAATAATTAAATTGCAAACATTTTATCAAGCAAATTTTATCCCTTTCACTTTTATGGGAAAACTTGTTCTTGAGTCGCAATTAGTGGATACGAAAACCAGGGTTCGAAAGATGCCAGCTCTATTGAAAACTCAAAAAAGTAAAAAGATTCATTTTGGGTAGGTAAAATAATTTTTTATTTTGTAATAACCAGACGGTCAATCCTCTTCATATTGCACTTGGATGATGATAACATCATAGTGATACATTGTAACAAATATGAGCAAAATCTAATGTCTGGAACTTTTTCTACGCTGACCTGGTACTGCATCCTTAATTAGAACGCCACGTCTCAGAAAGCGCACTCTGATATTATGGTTTTTGTGGTTCAGCATGATGTTTGTTTTATATGCGTTTCAAACAAATATTGGACACCTAATAGTATAGTTTCCATATAGCTTTTGAAATCTCGCTAAATCTCGTTTTTCGTGAGATTTTAAGAGACTTGCATATTAGACCTCTAATGACTTACATTACCTTCTTTTAAATGGCATATTTGAATTCAGTGAAATGTTTTCTCCTTTACACAGTTATGTAATTTGAATAATTTTCTATAACAATTAAAAAAAACTTGGGCCAAATGTCCATAGATGCAATGCTAAAATCCTTTAAATCCGTGGATTATTTGTATGTCAATCAACATTTGCATGTTTAATCACATCATGTACATAAACAGGGTCATCATGTGGTATATCATTCAAGTTTTATACAGATTCAACAAACACACTTTGATAAATCATGAAATTAAGCCACTTTTCCAAGATTTTAGCATGTAAATGAATGGAGCTCTAGCCCGAGTTAAAAGCTGAATAAAAGATGGCAGCACGAGATTTCATTGATTTTTCTGCTATTTAGAAACTATCCTATTCCCGGGAGTATATATCTTAATATGGTCGTCATCATTGCAGGCTCTGAGATACCTACATTTATTACAATGTGGTGCTTTATTCAAATCTGGAAGAAGACTGGCAATCATGATCTACATTCTGATAAGTGGATTATGTTGTTTACTGATGATACCGCTTATAATGGTGAATATGAAATTATTGGTGACCATAGCTGCTATGATAGCAATGTCAAGCGTGAAGACCACTATATGGGTCGTTTTTCTGTACACAGGAGAAGTATATCCAACCCCTGCACGGACAATCGGCATTGGAACAGCTTCGAGCATCAGCCGAATCGCATCTTTGATATCCACTCAACTTTCACTGTTGAAAACTATATGGTTTGGCCTGCCATATGTATTGCTTTGCGTATTTCCAATTGTCTCCAGTGTTTTAGCATATTTCCTCCCTGAAACCAAGGGCTGTCATCTGCCAGAGACATTTGAAGAAGCAGAGATGTTTGGAACTGAAGAATACAATAATTTAGATAAGGAGTATATCAGAAATGGTTCAATACAACTGAAAGAGCCATTCATTAATGATACAACATTAGAAAAAACTAACTCCCCTAAGCAGGTATAGGCAAACAAAAATGTAAAAAAAAGTCAGCATAACTATAGTGGAAATAGCTGGTTACTGTCCGCGTTCACGTATATTACTTGTACTGAATTACCAGATTTTATCAAATGGGGCCACTTTTCAACACCACTTTGTTAGATATATGAGGGTTATGTTATGGGAGGTTTTGGATATGGTGTATATCCCGAGGGAAATATTGATATCTTACCGAGGGCTCGGAGGGCACGAGGTAAGATATCATATTTTCCGAGGGATATACCCCATATCCAAAACCGAGCATCACATAACTAATTTATCCTATGACAAGTGACTTTTATCTATGAAACATTGATTATTCCCTCAACTGATAAATTAAAAAGATTTAAACTTAACTTCGACGTTTTGGTCAAGGAATATCTACCGCCGTCTGCTTCCATTTTGGTAGTTTCGCTATAGCGAGATATTCTAACGAATTTTGACTGTTTCTACACAGAGCGAAAACGTTTTCCCGGCAATATTGGTGCGGGAGATATACAGCGGGAGATATATATATGTCCCGCTCCTCCAAGATATCGATTTTATATCCAGCTGTTATGTACCTGAAACCTCACTTGTCATAGGATAAATAGAGATTATCCTATATGAGGTTCATGATATTGGGATTATCCCGAGGCAAATATAATATATTTGCCTGAGGGCCGCAGGTCCCGAGGGAAAATATATTATATTGGCCAAGGGATAATCCCAATATCTTGAACCGACTATAGGATAATTTATCCTGTTCCCGGACTATGGTCCTGTACTGAGCCCATACATTTGCCTGTACGATTACAACTTGGGAGAATTATCTACGCCCCTTCCACTTAAGAAACCTACCTCAATGCATTCTAAAACTCAAAATGTTACTTCTAATATATTGGAACCGCCGATTGTCTGGGTTAGTTGGCAGAACGAGGTCTTTTTGTTTCTTATGGCTCTTTTGGTCGAAGTTCGATTAAGATGGCGGTTATAACGGAATTTCCCGAACTCTTCCGTAATAGCACGAACTTGGTTTTTCGTTACGTCACTTGGAAAATTTCGGACAATATTTTCAATATTTACTGCCATGTCGACATCCTATGCTCTTAACTGTATACCGAATGGTTAAACAATGTTTCTTACCGAAAACAAATCCATTTTACATGGAAGTGACGTAACGAAAAACCAAGTTCGTGCTATTACGGAAGAGTTCGGGAAATTCCGTTATAACCACCATCTTAATCGAACTTCGACCAAAGAGCCATAAGAAACAAAAAGACCTCGTTCTGCCAACTAACCCAGACAATCGGCGGTTCCAATATATTAGAAGTAACATTTTGAGTTCTAGAATGCATTGAGGTAGGTTTCTTAAGTGGAAGGGGCGCAGATAATTCTCCCAAGTTGTAATCGTTCAGGCAAATGTATGGGCTCAGTACAGGACCATAGTCCGGGAACAGGATAAAGGATAATATGTTTATCCCATACCAATCTTGGTCATCGGGTACACATTGTTCAATCGTGGAAATATTTTAGAATATTCATGTCCAGTTTTGTTTTCTTGGCCGTGGGCGGATTTTCCTGTTCCGTCAAATATTCCCACATTTATTTTCTCGAATTTTTGATTGATTAAGTGGATGCTCCTTCCCTTTTTTTAAACCATCAAACAGATCCAGATTATCTGTGTTTTCTCCATTGTCGTTTACAGTCATTACGCGAACGTTACAAATTATGAACAAATATGTGAGCGGCGATTATGACGTAGCGGGCAGATATACTATATCTGCCCGCTCTTACTTGGACGTGTTATAGGTACATAAAGCAGGTTTGTAAAAACTTATATTTGCATCAGCGGGCAGATATAGCTTTACGTCCAGCTCCGAGCGGGCAGATATAGTATATCTGCCGCTATGTCATAATCGCCGTTCGCATATTGGTTTATTTTGTAACGTTCGCATAATAACTGTAAACGACAGTGGAAAAACGCAGACAATCAAGGGCGTTACAATACCCGGGAATTTATCGGTTCGTGCAGTACTTGTCTGTGATAGCGCCATCTGCAGGTCACTGTGGTTATAGCCTACATAATACGGGGTAGGATATCGGGAATATTCGGTGCAGTTTCTATCCGTCGATTACGCTATGAATTGAAGCAAGTGTGACCACTTTATCCACTTAAACAATTTGATAATTGATTAAATCGTTAAACAAAATCGATAAACACGTCATACACTTCCCATCTCCTTAGAAATTAGCATGTATTTATCGGATTGTGTTTTCGGACGATGCTCGACCCAAACCACTAGGGAAATCCTTATGCTAATTAGTATGACGTCATATTTTCATGGGGAATCCTAGATTTCAAAGCCTCGGTCTTTTATTGTGTCAAATGTAAACGTTCTTTTGCAGACAGAAAATTGACAGATTAGCTTTTAACTTTTAACTTTCAGCTTTGATGTTTAAATATTCTATATTTCTTCCG